TTTTGGTATTAGAGATTAAACCCAGAGATTCTTCATCATTGAGCTACACTTCCAGTCCTTTTTATTTATTTATTTATTTATTATATTTATTTTTTAATTGTAGGTGGACACAATATTTTATTTTTAATGTGGTGCTGAGGATCAAACCCAGAGCCTCATGCGTGGTAGGCAAGCACTCAACCTCTGAGCCACAAACCCAGCCCCCCCTTTTTATTTTTTGAGACAGGGTCTCATGAAGTTGCTGAGGCTGACCTCGAATTTGCAATCCTCCTTCCTCAGCTTCCCACCTGAGTCACTGGGTATACAGGTGTGCATGTGCCACCACACCCTGCTTTATGGATGCATTTTTATTGAACAAAGTGGATAATAAAGTTATGGAATTTGATACCCCACAAGCAGGAAATGACTAAGTTAAAAATGAATTTGGGAAAAAAACGTAACCGTGTCCACTAAGTGAAGTGTAAAGTTCAGGTAAGCCACACTGTTCCCTGGAGCTCTGCAAGGGCCTCTTGTGATGGATGGTGTGGGCTGACAAACTTTGCCATTGCTATGGGTTTCATGGCGGTAGCTCTTGTTTTGTTTTTCCTTATTTCTTGCACCCATTCTCATTCCTTGGGGGTCAAGGCCATCTCTGTTGATTTCTGTTAAATGCCCTAAACAGCATAGTTCAATAGAATATCAGTGATGGAAATGTTCCACATCTGCATGTCCCATAGGGAGCTACTAGTTACACATGACTGTTTAGTACTTGAAATGTATCTTGTGTGCCTGAGGAATAGCCTTTTTTGGACCGGGGATTTAACTCAGGGGCACTTTTGCCACTGAGCCACATTCCCAGCCTTTTTTTTTTTTTTTTTTGAGAGAGGGTCTCACTAAGTTGCTGAGGCTAGTCTTGAACTTGTGATCCCCGTCTTAGCCTCCTGAGTTGCTCTTATTACAGGTGTGCACCACTGGGTCCCAGTGCTTTCTAAATTCTAAAAACATTTGCTGGGCATGGTGGCACCTGACTGTAATCCCAGCTGCTTAGGAGGCAGGAGGATTACAAGTTCCAGATGAGCTTCAGCAATATAGAAAGACCCTGTCTCATAAAATAAAAAGGGCTGGGGATGTAGCTCAGTGGTAGAACACCCCTGGGTTCAATCCCCAGTACTGCAAATTAAAAAAAAATATATGTTAGTGGCAATTTACACTTGTTTATTTTTGCATGCTGGAGATCAAACTTGGTGCCTTGTACATACTAGACAAGTGCCATATACTGAGCTACGTCACTATCCCAACAATTAAATTTTTTTTTAGTATTTTTTAGTTTTCAGTGGATACAACATCTTTATTTTATTTGTATATGGTGCTGATCGAATCCAGCACCCCACACATGCCAGGCGAGTGTGCTACAGTTTGTGCCACATCCCCAGCCCCAACAATTTAAATTTTAATAAGCATACATGGCTAGTGGCTACTGTATTGGACAATTTGGGCCTAGAAGTTACTATGTAGGTTTTGTGTGTTAGCATTAAGCCTTCTCAGAATTTTGTTCACCCAGATCACCCTGGACAAAGCTGCACATTCCTCTCGGACAGTGATCCCTGAATTGTCCCCATGAACTGTGTTCCCTTCCTAGAATCTTTTATGAGGTACAGCTTGTTTTCTCTTGTCCATGTTCACCTCCACCAGCTGGAAGAGGCTGTTCTTCAGGTATTTGGGACAAAACCCTGGAGAGCAGTAGACTCTAGCAGCCAGTTCCCCGGGATGGGAGGTTATGAGAAAAGAGAACCTTGGATCTAAGTCTACATCTGTGTTCCAGCATGGACATGAGGGGTGGTCACCCTGGTTGGGGCCCACCACAGACTCCCACTTTATAAGTCAAAAGCACTCAGATTTTTGGCCAACCAAGGCTCAGTGAGACTCAGGATGACATGACATCACAAATAGCCTGTGATCCTGCCCCAGGAAAGGTTTGTCATCCTAATTGATATTCAGGCTATCTATTGTTTTATAACAAACTATTCCCATTTTTTTGTAAATCACTTAAATAATTTTTCTGGGGCTGGGGATGTGTCTCAAATGGTAGAGCGCTCACCTAGCATGCGTGAGGCACTGGGTTCGATCCTCAGCATCAAATAAAAATAAAATAAAGACATTGTGTTCACCTAAAATTAAAAAATATTTAAATAAAATAAAATAAATCATTTTGCTAAGCTGGGCACAGTGGGACATGCCTGTAATCCCAGCAATTTGGGAGGCTAAGGCAGAAGGATTCCAAGCTCAAGGACAGCCTAGGCAAATTAGTAAAAACTTATCTCAAAATAAAATTTTTAAAAAGGGCTGTGGATGTAGCTCAGAGGCAGAATGCTCCTGGGCCCGATCCTCACTACCCCAAAATTTATAGTACTAATACTAATTTTGTTCATGAATCTTCATTATGGGGAGAGTTCAAGGATTCGAGCTGCTCTCTGTTTCATACAGTGTCAGCTGGAATGGTTTAACTTGGGGTCAGAAGTGCCACTTCTAAGATGGTTCACTCTTATGACTGACATGTTGGGTCTCAGCCAGAACTGAGGACCAAGGTCTTGGTTCTCTTCATGGACTGCTTGAGCTTTCTCATAGCATAGTAGTTGAGCTAAAGAGAAAGCATCCAAATTGACAGAAAACAGAAAGTGCCAGTGTTTTAATAAGGCAAGCACTCCACCAACTGAGCTATATCCCCAGCACCCTCTGCTGTACTCTTTTAGTCAAGGATCATGGAGTCAGATTTGAAGGGACACCCTTACCACCCCCACCCCCATCAATGGGAGTAGCATCAAAGAATTTGGCTGCTCCATCACAGATGGTATGTTACTCCCTCAAAGGTTGATCTCGCATAAGACCAAATTTGAGCTCAGTCTAGTGGACGAGTCAGAAAATACTTAAGTAAAACACTCACACAAATTCCAAATGATGCCATCGTTCAAATGAATATTATACCTAAGACAAGTGCTAAAAAAGAAAGGAATGAGAGGAATTTCAAGGGAGATTTAGCCCTGTCTATGGAAGGAAAAGCATCTGCAAGGAAGTGATTTTCTTGCTTAAATCTACAAAGATAACCAGGAGGTACTTAGCAAAGGAGGTAGGGACAGGTGAGTAGAAAAGGATTCTAGAAAGAGAGAACAGTATACACAAAATCTCTGAGGCAAAAGATGTTGGCAGAGGGTAGAAAGTAAAAGATTATTATGTTAGAAAACTAAAAAAATCTCTAGGACAGTGAGTAGAAGCCAGGAATTTGGCAGAGCTTTGCCAAACCATGGCAGGCTATTCTGAAGACTGACAATTTTCATCCCAGAGGCAAAGGAAAGCTACTTGAAATGTTTTATTTGCTGGCACAGCAGATTGAACCCATGGGCACTTTACCAGGAGCTACACTGCGAGCCCTTTTTATTTTTCGAGACAGGGTCTTGCTAAATTGCTGAGGTTGGCCTTGAGCTTAGGAACTTCCTGCCTCAGTTGGGATTATAGGCATGTGTCACCTCACCCAACTGGGATCTCAGATTTTTGCTGTCAGCTGTTCCTTGGGTCTCTTCTGCATGGCTTTTCTATGTGGTTGAATAGCAGTCTCAGGTAGTTGGATTCATATGGTGACTGGCATCCCCCAAAGTGCAAAAATGGAAACTGCCAGTTTTGCCACATTCTATCAGTTGAAGATCAACAACCAACTCAGATTTAGAATGGGGACTACACAAGGGCATGAAGATATGTGGTCTATTGGGGAACACCAAATCCAGTGACCACACAGAATCCCTCCTGGGATTCTGACTTTTGTACTTGGATAGAGAGTGATGCTGTTCATGGGAATGGAAGCCCTAGGTGTGGCTTCCACGCTCCTACATTTAAAAAAAATTCATCTCTGTAGGAAGAAGAGTGATTTTGTTGCAAGTCTGAATTGAAACTCTCTGAGGAGTTGCTTTCACTGATCCTTCAGATTGAGTTAAGTCCCTGTTATGGATTCCTTGCTCCCTTAGGTCTTCCCTTTGACATTCATCCCACTGAGAGCATTGTCTAAAGTCTGGCTTCCCTGCTAAATGTTCACTTCAAGAGTTTTGGACCTAGGTCTCACTTGTTCCCTGACTCCTATCTCAAAAATGCAGACCATATGTCACATAGCAAGTTCTCAAACTTTGCTGAATTGAATCTCATGTCCATTTTTTTTAAACTGAAAGATATGACAATCTGGGCTTATGTAAATACCATGCATTGTATTTTTAAATCGACTTTCCTAAACATGGGGCACTGGGAAGAAGCCAACAAGGAACTTGGACTATACCTGATTTTTCTGATGCTCAATCTTGTCTTCATCTGTAGATTGACTATGATATGCTGCAGCTGCTGTTATGTGATAGAAAATATGGACTCCATGATGCCATAGATACTATCTACTGTTGTAAACACAAATAATTCCACCCATGGATGATGTAAGACTGAAGCAGAGGACAACAGCTTCTGTAGCCTGAAATACCGTAAGGAAGTCAAGCATGTGCAGTGCCCAAGGATACCATGGGCAGAGGGTAAAATAATAAAGGGGAAAAAAAAGCCATTCTTTTTACATAAAATCATTTAATGTTTTCTTTGTTAAAATACACTCAATCTAGATGCAGTAGATCAGATGAACAGAGTGTTCAGGATTTGAACTCCACCAGGAGCTGATTTCATCTGTGTCCTCCCTGACTCTGGTCACAGAACATTCACATCTATAAATCTGCATACTGAATATGATGCAAATGATGTAATCAGTACCTAACACATGGGTATATAATTACGTAGTGGCCACTGCACAAGGTATCAACAATGCAGCCTCAAAATATACGATGTATAGTAACTTGTCTATCTCCAAAAATAATTAAGACACTAAGCGAACACTTTAATTAGTCCAAAATAAATGCAAATTGCTAGCTCCTGTGAGGAGCAGTGCATGCAGAGACTTGGTTGTATGGCCAGTTGTTAACAGAAAGCTTCTGGAATTCCAACATGCTTCCTCACAGTGTTGTCCTGAGTGTGAGGATAAAAATAAGGAGTACATAGCTTGGCCAAGCTGCTGAATCTCATGTTCTGGTGAGGTCTGGAGTTACTGTAATTTCTAATGGTTTCCAGAGAGCGCAGCAATGTTCTTTTTTTTCTTTTTGGTACTGGGGATTGAACCCAGGAGCATTCTGCCTCTGAGCTGTATCCACAGCCCTTTTTAAATTTTATTTTTTTGAGACAAGGTTTCATTAAGTTGCTGAGGCTGGCCTTGAATTTGTGATCCTCCTGTCTCAGCTTCCCAAGTTACAGGGATTACAGGCATAAACCACTGCACTCAGTGCAACATTATTTTCTCACTCTTAAGCCATGAGGCCTGTTAAGGAAGTTTAAAAGTTTTCTGGGTTTGAGCAGATGAACTCCAGGTCTACTGACCTGGGTACATGGGTTCCTTCAAGCTGCAAGTTTCTTTGTGAGAAGGATTTTCATTCTTCCCTCCTTAGTTCTGATCAAGCAGTGCAGGAGAGCATCTTCACTTGAATGAGAGCTTGTTTCTGTGTGAGCTTCAAGCCCTCTTTCTTAGCCTCACTCCCAACACCAGGGTCTAATCTGTAGTAGCCCTCCAACAAGTAGTTTTGAGCTGTGTGCCAAGTTCCAACAATGAGAATAGCCTTCCCTAAAGAGTTTATATACCAGTAAAAATCTTCCAAAGGATTTAGGCAAGAAGGAAAATCTTATTTTACCACCATGCAGGCAACCCATCTACAATACAGCCAAGGATATTTGTTTAACATTATTCTTGATAGTACCAAATAGATTAATTTATCTTTCAACCAAAAGCAAATATGGTTCCCTTGAGAAAAACCAGATGTGGGTATTGTGGTCCAGTAGTAACAAATTAAACAAACTATTAATGCTATAAAAACAATTAGTGTGATATTTAATGGAGTTAGTATTGTCTCTATTTAGTAGCATCACATTTAATTAATCACTACCATGAAATCCATAAAATGTTTGACAACACTATTTGTGGATATCTTCTAGGGCAGGGTCTTTTGCCTTTTAACCTATCACTGTTTCCACTGTGGTGTTTTTTTTTTTTTTTTGCAGTACTGGAGATTGAACCTAGGGCCTCATGCATGCTAGACAAGCACTCTACTACTGAGCTATACCCCCAGCCCTTTTTATTTTGAGCCAGGATCTCACTAAATTGTCAAAGCTGGCCTTGAATTTACAATCTGCCTGCTTCCCTGTAATCCCTGGACTGGGATTACAGGTGTGTACCACGATATTCAGTTATGGCTCATTTTCTGGCAGAGGTGGAGGTTGGAGAGTGGCTGGGATTATAGGTGTGCACAGTTGTGACCAGATATGGTTCACTTTCTAGCAGAAGTTGAGGAGAGCTTTGATTTTTGTGTGTGTAAGAGCTTTCCATAAGACTGTTTGACTCATGGAAACAATTTTATAGTGTAAATCCTCTGTCACTCAGAGATCAGGAAGACCCAACAAAACCCAGAATAGACCTAGCTGGCCAGCAAAATCTGGCTATATTCAGAACTGTTTCTCCTTCCTATAACTGAACATTTGTCACTACCAGTCACCAGCCCTCCCCCACCCCCCGCCAACCCCCGCCTTTTTTCTGGCACCTTGGATTGAACCCACTTTACCACTGAACCACATCCCCAGTCCTTTTTATGTTTTATTTTGAGTCAGGGACTTGCTAAGTTGCTCAGGGCCTCCTTAAATTACTGAGGCTAGCTTTGAACTTGCAATCTTCCTGTCTCAGCCTCCTAAGACTCTGGGATTACAGATGTATGCTACCATACCAGGCCCAAAGCCCCCATTCTTTACCTGAGAACTCATCTCCTGTCCCTGTGGAATGTGCACATATGAACAGTGCTAGACATCGGAATGGAGAAACTTTACTTTGGAACTCAGACTTAATGTAGACCCTCCTTTCAATAGGAACTCTTCTTCCAAATCCAGAGAAGAATGTAGACTATGGTCCTTTCAATTTTAGAGGCTCATAATAATCTGGGCAGCGCATTCCAAGTCGCTCCCTTCCATAGGAAAAGCGTAGAACCACATAGTCTAGGCAGCGACTTATTTCTTCCTTGTCACCAGTGGGAAGGGCTGCCTGCCTTTAAGGAAACTCTTACTTTGTATACAGAATTTATTCATGTGGTCCTGCTTCCAATGAATAACAGGAATGCAGGACTGCCATAAAAAGAACAGAGGAGTGAGTTGTGGGCAACAGAGGCATCCTTGGGAAAGATGCTGCTTTGCCAGTCTGGCTTGAATCACCTGAGAAATGAGGATGAGCTCTCACATTTTCCACTGATAATCCACCTACCAACCAGCTCTGCCACTGCCAGTTGTACAACCAAGGTCAACCATCCTCTCTGGTCAAGGTTCTCATTCATAAAAGCAAAGATAATACACCTACTTCACAGAGTTGTGAGGAAGCTTCACTAAAAAAATATATGTGAGAGCCTGTGTTTTATAGCAGGCACTCAATAAATGTTGAATGAATGAAACCATTTTATACCACAAACTCGAGGGTAAAATAAAATGACTGCTGGGGCCAATGCTAGCCTCTGATGGACACAGAGGCAATCTTCCCCTTCTGTCTCTAGGCATGAGCCATAGCCTGGCTGGAATGCCTCCTCTTAGGTCTGATCACTGTTCCTCTGTGGGGTGTAGGGACTTGGCTCAAAAACGATGATACCAAATGATGATACCAAGGGGAAATGACAAAAAGAACATTCTCTAGATGTGTGATAAATACTTGAGAATGTGCGCTGAGGAGCTGAAACTTTGTCTTGCATTTTATCTTCTCCCTCAGTCCTTGCTTCCTGCTGCTGAGTTGTCAGTGGAACTGTATCACAGCTCAACAGTTTCTAATTTCTGGCCCCTCTACGGGAGGGAGGAGTAAGGAAAATAAAAGAACCTCAAATCATTCAGTTTGCTATTGCCCCTGACTGAACAGAGACTAGGATAACAAATAACTATTGGTTAAATTGTTTAAATGTCTCCATATTCCCCTTAGAAAATGGAAAGTTGAACAGTAACAAGTTCCGAAGGCTGAATCTTAGGGGAGATGATGTCTCTAATGCAAGGAGAGGTATAATTTTTCAGACATTGTAAGTAATATAAAGCTGCTTTGGATAAGTCCAGGGTACCTAGGTAAGGAAAATTCACTGAAGAAGGGAAGGGAAAAAATGTAGATCTTCTCTGGGATGCCCTTAACTTACATTCACAGAGACAGGGTAGGCCTGGCGCAAGGGGACTCAGTGAAACGCTTTGCCATTCATGTCACTTAGGAATGTTCCTGTCCTGGGAGCCACTCCCTGGGAAGGAATCTGTGATGACAAGTCTGGCTCCATGCTCAAGCTCTTAATTCTGCTCAGTAAACAAAGTTAGTAAATTGTAAAATGTTTGTCATTTCCTAATTTTGTATTATAAAATGGAATTAGGAACATAAATAGTAACAAATAACAAAACCCCAACCCTGCCCTGGACCATCATTCTCTCAACCACCTCTGCGGAGGCCAATAAGTTTGGAAAGTTTTTCACAGTTTTCAAGTTTGAGTGACTCTGCTTTCTGTTTCAATCGTTCATCTCTGTATAATCCTGCTAAATTTGTCAACTCCGATTCTGAAAGATAAAAAAATAAATAAATAACAAATTCATCAAGTGTCGAGCTTGTTTCATTTCAACATTTCTAGAATCAAAGTGCCATTTATTTATTTATTTATTTCGGGTACCAGGGATTGAACTCAGGGGCACTCAACCACTGAGCCACATCCTTAGTCCTATTTTGTATTTTATTTAGAGACAGGGTCTCAGCTGAGTTACCTGCAGCCCACTTTTGCTGAGGCTGGCTTTGAGCTTGAGATACTCCTGCCTTGCCTCCTAAACTGCTGGGATTACAGGCATGCACCACCATGCCCAGCCAAAGTGCCTTTTATTTTAATGCTTTTCTTTTCCTTTAAATTTAAGCAACAGCTCTTCCTGTAATCTGCCTGAGGTGATCTGTGAAAATGATTCCCTACTCTGTTGACCCGAAAAACCCCACAAAATGATGTAAATCAAGAGGTTCTCAAGTTCAGTTTAAGAACACCCATGAAACTGCATAGGCCATCAGGGACATGCATAGGCGAAAAGATACCAAGTACCTGAAAGATGTCACATTTTTTTGGGGGGGGGGGTATACAGGGGATTGAACTCAGGGGCACTTGACCACTGAGCCACATTCCCAGCCCTATTTTTTAGTTTAAGCCTAAAAAGCACCTTCAGACAGGGTCTCACTGAGTTGCTTAGTGCCTCACTTTTGCTGAGGCTGGCTTTGAACTCGTGATTCTTCTGTTTCAGCCTCCCGAAGCAAAGATGTTACTTTAAAGAAATAATGTGTGCCATTCTGGAGTTATAATGGTGGAATTGGGAGGTATGCCAGGCCAAAGAGTGGAGCTGGTCATAGGGTTGATGGCCAAAAAGAATGCTGAATTTTTGCTGCTCATGCTTAAAAATGCAGAGAGTAATGAACTTAAGGGTATAGACAGAGATTCTCTGATCACTGAACATATCCAAATGAACAAAGCACCAAGATGCGCTGCTGTATTTACAGAGCTCATGGTCAGATAAACCATGCCACATTGAGAATCATTTCACTGAAAAGGAACAAACTGTTCCTAAACCAGAAAAGGAGGTTGCACAGAAGGAAAAGATATTCCAAAAGAAACTGAACAAACAGAAACTCATGGCACGAGAATAAATTCAGCATAAAATAAATGCAAATAAAAATAAAAAAAATAAAATAAACTTAAGCAACATTTACTCATTTATTCAAGAAACATGTTCTAGCACTAGACCAGGTGCTGAGGATTAAAGGACACCTGTGATCCTGCTGTCCTATAGTATCTGTGCTCTATTATAAAAGCACTGGATGTAGTTCTTATCTATAAAACATTTGGCACCAGACTTAGGAAATATGCACGTGTGCAGTAAGAGGAGACTGTCACCACCTTCCCACCAATGGTATTCAGATGGCAGTTGGAGAGACTGAAGTCCAATGGCCTGTTCCTGTCATCTGAAACAAAGACAGCTGCTTCATTCTTTCTCTGGCCTTGATGGATCATAACTCACATGACACAGGGCCTATCTCTGTTGGGAAGTGTCTACAGAAGGCCAGGATGCTAGTGGCTTTCTTTACTGCCCCTCTCTCTCTCTCTACATGTGGGGTCCCCAACTTAAAGGCCAAAAGCAACTGGGCTCTTTTTTTTTTTTTTAAAAGAAAGAGTGAGAGAGAGGGAGAGAGAGGGAGAGAGAAAGAGAATTTTAATATTTATTTTTTAGTATTTGGCGGACACAACATCTTTGTCTGTATGTGGTGCTGAGGATCGAACCCGGGCCGCACGCATGCCAGGCGAGCCCAACTGGGCTCTTTTAAAAGTGAAATCATAGTGTCCAACTAGCTCAGTCAGTAGAGAATGAGACTCTTAAAATGAAATCATCTGGATTTGGTGACCTTTGTCTCCTTGGCTAAATAAATTTCATTTTCTCTTCATGATAGAGAAGGTCATTCTATTTTTAACTAGAATATAATCTCTGCTGTGTTCCCTGACCCTATGGTGGTTTGGCTCTCTTGACTTTTTATTCTTTTGTGAGGTTTCAGAAATATTCTAATTGAGGAAGGCCTAAAAAGCATCTTCAGAGGTATGCCCAACAGGACACATTAATAGGAGGGCATGCCTGGATGGTGTATGGCTTCATAGAGCCTCCTACAGCAGGCAGCTTCTTCATATTTAAAGGACCACACTTGTGAAAATACTATCTTAATCATTTGGAAATATGTCTAATCATTCTTAATCATCTTGGTGACAGATTTTGCTTTTCTTGGGGGAACAAGAGGCACCTGTCTGATTAATCAGCAAACTGCCTGGAAACAGGAATTAATATTTAGCCAGGAGAAACAATGGCCATTGCTTTCTGAATAAGTTTCTATCAAAACAAAGCACTTGCTGGTATTTCTGTTCACAATAATTCTATTTGCACCACATAGGACTCAAAGTGCGATTAAGTGCAGGACTCCAGGGTGAAGGATGGATATGCATGAAAACCCTCCCTCTACAATGGAGCTGCAGAGCCTGGGCTCTAGCCCAGCAGTGACTTGGCAAGCAGCGAGTCCCCTAGGCTCTAGGACAATGTGCTCTCACCCCGTGGGGAGGGTGCCTGCAGCGCCAGCAAGCTAGAGCTTGCCTTGGCAGAGTCAGCCTTGCAGGTGATGGCACTTCATAGAGGATCATGTGCAGCACCCAAATGAAAAATCTTCTGCTCCTGTGTTCTGCCCAGAACTCAGCACTATTTCTCCAGCTTCTCTGGCATGTGGGAAACCTAATCAGGAATCTTCCATGAAATCAGTCTATGCTTTTGGTCCTTCAGAATCACAGTTACACCAGTATATGAAATAGATTCTATGGTTTGCTTTTCATGGACATTATTTCCTTAGGTTTTTTGGTTACTGGCCTTTTTACAATGCCTCATTCCCTGAATTTTCATTCCAGAAAACACTAAAGGCTACTGATTCCCCATATTTTCCACATTGCAGAACACTGTTAACAAGCTGATGAAAGATAACTGTACATATGTGAATGCTTTTCTCAAAACATCACATTCTTTTCATAAAACTACAGAAATTGGGTCAGGGACCCCTGCTCCAAAGTGATGACCTGGCATAAGGTCAGCATTTCAAGGAGTGGTGTCCCACACCCTCTCTACCACACTCTTGAGAAACCTCTCCAAGCTATAGGTGAATCCCTTCACTCTTACATGTGCAAAGGGTCAACTCAAAGAATGTTATTTTGATGAATTTTGTTAATATTCAGTAACTTTTAAGTAGCTGAAAAAAATCTTTGGGAGGGGAGGATCAAGAGAACATCTTTTCTTAACAAAATGTTCCTCTTTGCCCCTAATGCCAGTATAACAGATGGACAGAGCACTGAGCCTTGAAGGTAAACTGACTCTGGCAAATTGCCAAGCAAAGCAAATCCCAGAGCCTCTCTCAAGAATAGTCTGTGCAAGAGCCCAGATTGGAGCTTGACAGCTGGAAGGTCCCAACAAATCCCAACTACCCTCAGGATCCAGCCCCATGAGATATTGTTGCCACCAGTCTACAGTGCAAGGACACGCAAAAACCTGAACTCCACCAGGAATCAGGCATTTATATGCCAGGCACTGTGCTGAGTTATATCCTCACAATCTCCTATACTCCATATACCCTTTCCAGGAGGAAGTTAATTCCCATTTTCAAAGCCTCTGCCTCTACCCACTCATTAACCTGTTCAAGAGCATGTTAAGAAGTGCGACTCTGTCAGTGCAGGGTCTAGGTCAGGGTCTCAGTCAGCTCAAGTAGGCCAGGATGCAGTTCCCAACTGTTACTTTTGTTCCGCCCCGCCCAGTGGCAGAGACAACAGGGCAATCAGTGTTCATAGTAAAGAATAACTCATAAAAATTAATCCATATTAAGTATTCTAAGGAAAAGCAGAGAACAGAAATAAGACTCAAAAAGACAATGGCTAACTTTGTTTTGATAAAAACAGTTTCCATTTGTATTTTGCCAAGAGTGAACTCTGTACTCAAGTGGGTTTATTTTTACAACCTCCAAGTGCTAAATTTAACCTTGTTGGCTGCATTTGCTGCTGGATTCAGAAGGCAGATGCTGCCTGTTCTCAAATGGCACTTGAGCAGTGTGGAGGCTCCATTCAGCCATTGTACTTAAATGCCAGAAATAGATTTTTAAGGGGTACGTGATATGAACCCCTGTTCAGAGTCTGTGAGTGCACGCAGCCCACTTACTCGTTGGATTTTTACTTGTGCCAAAGCTCTAAAACTAGGCCTCAAGTAGATGGGAACAAAAATTTAGAAGCCACCTTCACTGCAATTTCTACCAGAACTTTTTGTATAGTTCTAACATTTTAATGCCACAGAAGAAGGGAGGTGTGTGTATGTGTGTATGTGTGTGTGTGTGTGTGTGTGTGTGTAGGATGTGGGGGTATATGTGTGTTTTAAAGATATGAAATTTAGATTTTTCCATTCAATTCTTGCATTGAGCAACATATTCAAGACCACCTAGTGTCCAGAATAATGGAGATGTTTAGGAATTCAATGGCTTTCACTTGTTTTGGATCCATCTTTATAAAGTCTTTTAGCCCCAGGCCTTTATCTTATTCCAAAAATTCTTCCTTCCTTTATCCCTCTGTCCCTGCCTTTCTTTCTCATTTTCTTTCTCGTACAATGGATTGAATCCACAGGCACTTTACTTCTTAGGTACACCCCCAGCCCTTTTTATTTTTTATTTTCAGTCTTACTAGGTTGCTGAGGTTGGCCTTGACTTTGCAATCCTCCCGCCTTAGCCTACCTAGTTGCTGGGATTACAGGAGTGTGCCACTGCACACAGCTTATCCATTTTTTCATTAAAAAAATCAACTTCCTCCTCCTGTTGAATTGCCCATTATGTCCTAGAGTCACTGCCCACCAATTAATGTACCTTGAGAGGGCGGCTGAGTTCTGCTATACAGAAATAAGAGACCCATAAAGATCAGAAATAGACATTAGCCCTGATCTGTTATTCATAATCCTCAGCATTTCCATTCCTTTCCACTCCTGAGAATGCACCCTTGTCCAAAGACATTTGTTGAGCACCTGTTTTGAAGCAAGGACTGTGCCAGCAGCTTGTGACATTAAAATTAGTTAAGACATCGTCTTATCTTTGGAGAACCAGTAGTCCTGCACGTCAGATTGACAGGTACCCATGGAACATTAATACTATGTAATCAGTACTATGCTAGCAGGAAGAACAAAGTGGTTTAAGATCATACAGGAAGGACAGATGAACTGGGGGTTGGGGTTGGGAGTGTGTGATGGGTCAGTGAGGCCTTAGCTATGACCAAGTAACTAATTTTAACAGACACTGTTAGATATTTAACTATACCCAGTAATAAGGTTTAAAAGATGACTTAGCATTTACTTTGAAAAAAAATTAACCAAAGCCTAGTTTTATAATATACAATTCCTAATGGTTTGTGTGTGTGTGTTTGTGTAATTCAAGTGGAATACAAAGTGAAGCTGCTAGCTGAGGTTGGGGTAGCCCAGCTGCCAGCTCTCCCTAGTAACAACTGGAGTTGTAAGCCAAGTGGCAGATATTGTCACTCTCACTGTCTCCAGAGAAGAAAAGAGTGTGCAGGACTTGCTCATATTCACCCATATTGAAGAGGCAGAATCAGAGGGTTATTTTTATTCTGTGTGAGGGTAGGGGACACCTGACTCAATAGGAGTAACATCTAAACATTTGGCTTGATTCAAAAAGTTAGGCTAGCTCAATCAGATTTCCCTATGGGGAATGTGGAATTTGGAAATTATGGACCAAAACTGTGGACTAGCATTAAGAGCTTCACGAGGGAGCTTGTAATGAAGAAATGGGCCAATGACAGGTGGGATTTGGAAGCTGGGAGAGCAACAAGGAGGGTAGCAACAGTTATGAAGGAGAGATGTTTGAGGAGATAAAAGGCAGATGGCGGAGAGGACAGTGCAGCAGATGGGTAGAGAGAGGCAGAGACCCAAAGAGAGACAGGCAATAAGCACTGTCTAAGTTTCTACAATTTCTAAGTCCTGAGCACATGAATCCTGTCAGTAATTTCCTCCCTTTTTGCATCCCGAATGGGCCTCTGACTCTGTTTACATAAATATATAACCCCAACAAGAAGAGAGAAGGGATCAGGAAGCTGGGTCCACCTTATGCTGGGAGTCTGGCCATAGTGAAAGCCCCTTTGACAGATCTTACTTTGCTGTTTCTCCTTCCAACAACTTGTCTGGATGTAATCGATGTAATCCTTCTCTATCGTCTTCTCCAGGTCATGCAAAGAAGCCCCTCTATAGGCCTTGTCAAAGTTTTTATCCACGAAGTAAGGCACCTGCAGGTTCTGAGTTTCTCTGGAAATGGTGTAGCCCAAGGTCCTGAAACAAAGAGTGAAAGGCTTGGAGAGTTTGCAGTATTTCGCAATGTCACTCTTAGTTCTAGCCTCGTAGACTCCATGTCACCATCACCTCCTCACAGGGCAGAAGCAGATACCAGTTTTTTTTTTTTTTTTTTTATATATATATTTTTTAGTTGTCAATGAATCTTTATTTAATTAATTTATTTATATGCAGTGCTGAGAATCAAACCCAGTGCCTCACACACACTAGGCGAGCGTTCTGTCACTGTGCCACAACCCCAGGCTCAGAGGCAGATACCATTTTTATAATATACTCAAAACTTCTTATTTCCCTAGTAAAGTAGAAAGCAAAAAGCCTTCATTATCAATATTAACATGAGCACGTTCATATTGTAAATTCAGCTTCAGCATATATAGTTTATTCTCTTTAAAGACTCATTAGTGTCCTTTCTAACTCCACCATGGTGAGAGAAGGACTTTCTTCAATAGAACTCTTCAGAATTCTATTGATCCTTCAGAAACTACTGGTTGCTGTTCTGCAGCTGACCAGATGATGTCACTGTAGAACAACAAACTTTATCTCATAAGGCACACGTGAGACTGCTTACAGCATTTGAGTCTGCACTATGACTACTTTAAATATAAAATCAGTGTTTTTCTACAGTGAAAGGTGAAACAAAGCATTAGTAATATATCAGCAAAACCTTCAAGACTTTCATTCACCAGACTATTATTAAGGAAGATTTATAAGTATTTGACTTACGATTTATAGAATAGACTGTATGGAGGATTAGCAGCCAGCAGCTGAGTAATGACAGATACAATTACAATCACAAGAACTGGAAGTAACTGAATAAATGCAGAATATGTGGTCTAAAAATAAAGAAAAAAATATTTAGAAGTTTCCTTTCTCAATATAAAAAAATACAAATGCAAAGAAGTCTCAAAGAAAATACAAATTATCAAAGCACTGCACAGATTTCATAATGCCCAAGGCTTTTCTGGCAAGGCTGTACCAGCAACTGAGAGGTACCATGCAACCTTATTTATACTCTTTGCTGAGAAGGATGAAGGAGGCCTACCCACAAACTGGACTGACTCCCAGCAATCTTCCTGCAGCCCTAGACCAATGAAGCAGACACCTCTAACTAAGGTCTTCCCAACTGTGACTCTCACAGCACTGGGACTTTAGAAGCCATATTAATATGAGGCAACTCTTGCCTTGGCCACAGCTGACTGAACTGGGAGACATCTAACTCTAGCAGGGATAACCACGTTCTTCCTCCTTGGGGGGAATTTGGGGTTGAGATTCATCACCCTTTGCTGCTAGGCATTTGAAAAAAGGATACATATTCACTCTTACAAGCTGTGAACCAGCCATTTGAAAGGGGAAGTAGAACAAGTTAGACTGCTAGAAAGAACAAAAGAGAGGCAGAGTGGTGGGAAAACTGGAGATAATTTGGCCCTAAAAAAACATGGTGAGCCGGGTGTGGTGATGCATGCCTGTAATTCTAGACTCAGGAGACTGAGGAAGAAGGATTTCAAGTTCAAGGATAGTTTCAGCAACTTAGCAAGACCCTAAGCAATTTAGCGAGATCCTGTCTCAAAATAAAAATTAAAAAGGGCTGGGGATGTAGCTCAGTGACAAAGTACTCCTGGGGTTAATCACCAGTACCAAAAAAAAAAAAAAAAAAAAAAAAATTATGGTGAGCTTAACTGCCTGGAAGCCTGCCAGCACTCAGTTCGTGGTTCCTATCTGTCAGGAGGCCCAGCTGTGCTTCTTGCCATTGAATTTCATGAGACTCCCTTGGTTGGGTTAACCTCTTAGTTCTGTTTTTTTGTTTGTTTTGTTTTTTTTGTAGTACTGGGAGTTAACTCAAGGGCACTCTACCATTGAACTATATTACCATCCCTTTTAATTTAATTTTTTTGCTTGTTGAAGTACCGGGGATTAAATACAGGGATATTTCACCACAGAGTTATATTCCCAGCTCTTTTTATTCTGAGATAGAATCTTGTTAAATTGCCCTGGCTAGCACTGAATTGGCAATTCTCCTGTCTCAGCCTCCTGAATTGCTGGGATTACAGGCATGTGCCACCATTCCTGACTAGTTCTGCATATTTCAAAGGAGGGTCCTATTTTCTGTAGTCATGAAAACCTTGATCAAGATATAGCGCCATGGGGCTGGGGTTGTAGCTCAGCGGCAGAGCGCTTGCCTAGAACATGAGAGGCACTGGGTTTGATTCTCAGCAACACATAAAAATAAATAAATAAATAAATAAAATAAAGGTACTGTGTAGAAGAATTAAAAAAAAAAAAAAAAAAAAACTCCTTGCCAGGTTTGGTGACACATGCCTATAATCCCAGCAGCTTAGGAGGCTATGGCAGGAGGGCTGCAAGTTCAAAGCCAAACTCAGCAACTTAGCAAGGCCCTAAGCAATTTATGAGACCCTGTCTCAAAACAAAAAATAAAATAAAAAGGGCTGGGGATGTGGCTCAGTGATTAAGTGCCCCTGGGTTCAGTCCCTGGAAGGAAGAAGAAAGAAGAAGAAGAAAGAAGAAAGAAGGAAGAAGGAAGAAGGAGAAGAAGAAGAAGAAGAAGAAGAAGAAGAAGAAGAAGAAGAAGAAGAAGAAGAAGAAGAAGAAGAAGAAACCATCCCCATAGGAAGACTGAAATACTGGCAGAGTCTGAAATACTGGGAGAGTCACAAAAACTAGGTGGGCAGGATGGGGTTACCATTCTGGCCTACTTGGGCCACTGATTCAGCTTTTCACACTATTGCCTCTGCTTCCCTAAAGGACACTTTGGCAACATATCTCAAGTTTAACTTCTAGAACTTGATCATGCACAATAAAGGTGGGCTCAGTACAACTGTTTATGAGAAGCAGCTCTCCTTTCTTCCCTAGGCACCTGAGGTTTATCGTCTTCCTCTTCTTTCCGTGTCTGTGTTTTCTCATGTCGATGCCGCCGTCGATAATAGTGAGTGTCATCTGTCACATTTGAAAACATATGAATATTTCCTGGAAAAGAAAGAAAATAGCCACTAAATAGAGGATATGGCAAACATTCCTTTCTGGCAAGATATTTACTCCAAACTAGGTTCTTTAAGGATACAGTACTGCCCTATTTTACCCAGTAGAAGAGAATGGGTAAGACATAAGTCAGCTGGAAACAGATGGTGCTTAGCTCTTCTGACTTGGTTTAAATAGTCTTTTGCAACTAACAAGGGAGAGAACACTGAAAGGCTCTGAGAGAGAGAAAGTACATTTGGGCCATAAATCCTAGGACTACTTCTGTGACTAAAATCAGATTGTGTCACTGGTACCACAAAAATTTTTCCATTTATTTCCTGTATATTGAATTATCTCAATTTCTAACACATTTAGAAGATATTTTTTAAAACATTTTAACACTGAATTGGATGCTCATTGGTCAATCTTTTTTGTTTTTTAGAGATGGGATCTTGCTATGTTCCTGGCTAGTTTTTGTGTTTTTTTTTTGCAGAATCAAGGATGGAACCCAGTGGCATTCTACCACCGAGCTATATCCAATCCCTTTTTACTTTTTCACTTTGAAACAGAAAGATATCAAACTAGCTGGGATTACAGGTGTGTGCCACTGCACCTGGCTCTAAGCTACTCTTGAACCTGTACACTTAGGTGATCCTGCTGTCTTAGACTTCTAAGTAGCTGGCACATACCACTGGGCCTGTGTTCTTTTCTTTTGCTTTTTGTGTGTTTGTGTATGTGTTCTGGAGATTGAACCCAGGTCTTTGCCACAAAGTTATATCCCCAACCCTTTTTATTTGGAGATAGATAGGGTCTCACCGGGTTATTCAGTGTCTCACTAAGTTGCTGAGGCTGGCCTCAAACTTCTAATTGTCTGGCCTCAGCCTCCAGAGTTGTGGGAATTACAGCCATGTACTGACAGGGTAATTTTCTAATATATTTATAACTGCTATTTTTATAATGATAATAGTATTTTTTCTATTCATTTATAAAACACTTAAATATATTTATCTAATCCTCATAGCAACTTGCAAAGTAGACATTATGATCAGCCCCATTTTTTGGGTGAGGAACTAGATAATGAGAAATGCTAAATACTGGTCAAAATTATCCACAACTAGAGGCTTGAGATTTGCTTCAAATTCCTGTGCAACTGATTTGAAATTCCTGTTGTTCCCATCAAACCACTGTCCTTTTATTTAGATCTTCAAACAGGAGCTTGTTACAAGCCATAAATAAAGAAATATTTTTAAGAATCATAACATTGGTCAGGCGCAGTGGCACATACCTATAATCCCAGTGATTTGGGAGACTGAGGCAGAAGGATTACAAGATCAAGGCCAGCTTGGGCACCTTAAAAAAAGAAATCTCAAAATTAAACAAAATGAAACATAAAACAAGGGCTGGGGATGTAGGTCAGTGGTAGAACAATCCTGGCCTCAATTCCTGGCAAAAAAAAAAAAAAAAAAATCATAGCTTTGGGTTACTAACCTGTAGGAAAATGGCCTCCAAAGAAGACATTGAATAGCTCTTCTGGAGTGATGTCAGCTTCAAAATCCCTGTAATAATTATAAGGTCTGGCTTGAGGTGCAGTGAAAGTCACCTGTTCATCTCCATATTCATCATAGCGGAGTCTCTTATCAGGATTGCTCAGAACTGCAAAGGCATTTCCTATTGCTGCAACCAAGAAGAAGCACATAAGCACAGTCTTTACTGTGGTTGAGGGTAATCACAGCAGTAGCCATGAGGAGCCCAGAGTTGATTGGTGTTAGACAACCTTCCAAGGGCCCAAGGAGAGGATCTTTGGCCTTCAAATTTCCCCAAAGTGCTTGTGATAGCTTGTGATCTAGTTTGGTAAGCCAGAAATAACAACGCTGAAATCAGACAAATAAAAACTGCTGATGTGAGAGTTAACTCTTAATCAATTCTTGTCAGGCGCAGTGGCCCTCGCCTATAATCCCAGCAGCTAAGGAGGATGAGGAAGAAGGACTCCAAGTTCAAAGCCAGCTCCAGCAACTTATTGAGGCCCTAAACAATTTAGGGAGGACTGGAGATGTGGCTCAGTGGTTAAATGCCGCTGGGTTCAATCCCTAATACCAAAAAAAAAAAAAAAAAAAAAAATTCTTGAAACTGTCCTGGTGGGCCACTGCAGGAGGCTAGGGCAGAAGGATCATAAGTTTGAGGCCAGCCTGGACAACTCAGTGAGACCTTGTCTCAAAAATAAAATAAAAAAATTTTAAAAGGGTTGGAAATGCAGCTCATTGGTAGAGTACATTTGCCTAGCATGCAAAGGCCCTGGGTTTAATCCCCAGTAACACCAAAAAATAAAAAATAAAAAAGTTCTTACATCATCATAGCTGTACTGGAAATTGGGACCCAAGTGCCTCAGTTCAGATTGCCAATCACTGCAAGTCTCAGACATGTTGGGGAAATGTCTTCCAATTGTCCAACACTCATGCATCAAAAATATGTTCTTGGTTGGACACAGTAGCACATATTTGTAATCCCAGTGACTCAGCAGGCTGAGGCAGGAGGATTGCAAGTTTGAGACCAGCCCCAGCAATTTAGCAAGGTCCTAAGTACCTTAACTAGACCCTTTTGGATCCTTGTCCAAAATAAAAAGGGCTGGGGAATGTAGCACAGTGGGTAAGTACTCCTGTTAAATCCCCAGTATTAAAAAAAAGGAAAAAAAAATTGACAAGGTACCATACAGGTGCTCTATCATGTTAGGTTGTCCTAGTATTAGTAATGCTAAGTTGGATCACTTGGTTATAGTGGTGACACCCAGGTCTCTCCATTATAGAGGAATTTTTCCCCTTTGTAATCAGTAAGTATTCTGTGGGATAAAACTTTAAGTTCATGGAACAACAATCTATCATCCAATAGTTTTAGCATCTACTGATGAGTCTTACATTAATCAATGACTTCATTGTGAATCATGCTCTTAAGTTTTTATTCATATGTTGGCCAAAAAAAAAAATGTTTTCCCCCAAAACTGGGGTTTGAAACCAGGGTACTTTACCATTGAAATAAATCTCCAACCCCCTCCTCTCTCTTTTTTTTTTTTTTTTTCTGTGGTGCTAGGGTTTGAACCCATGGCTTTGTGCATGTGAGGCAAGCACTCTCCCAACTGAGCTATATCCCCAGCCCCTCCAGCCCTTTGTTATTTTGAGACTGGGTTTTTACTAAGTTTCATAGGGCCTCTGCAACTTAGGGGGCCCCTTTCTCAAAATAAAAGACTGGGGATGTACCTGAGTAACATAAAAACATTCCTGGGTTCAATCCACAATACAAAAATAAATAATCAGAGTGGCCTTGAATTTAGGATTCTCCTTCCTCAGCCTCCCAAGTCACTAGGATTATAGGTATGCATCACTCTGCCAAACCCAAAATATTTTTTTTAAGAATATATTTCTGGGGCTGGGGATGTGGCTCAAGCGGTAGCACGCTCGCCTGGCATGTGTGCGGCCCGGGTTCAATCCTCAGCACCACATACAAAGATGTTGTGTCTGCCGAGAACTAAAAAATAAATATTAAAAAAAATCTCTCTCTCTTTCCTTAAAAAAAAAAAAAAAAAGAATATATTTCAGGACTGGGGTACAGCACTTGGCCTAGCATGTGTGAGGCACTAGGCTCGATTCTCAGCACTGCATATAAGTAAATAAAGATCCTTTGACAAATAAAAATATATATATATATTTTTTCCCTGAGCTAAGTGTGGTGGCACATACATATAATCCCAGCAACTTGAATAACTGAGTTAGGAGAATCTTCAATTTGAGGCCAGCCTTAGCAACCCTTGGCCTCAGCAACTTACCAAGACACTGTCTCAAAATAAAATAAAATAAAAAGGGCTGGGGATGTAGCTCTGAGAGAAATCTGTCTAACATGCATGAGGACCTGAGTTCAATTCCCAGTATCACAAAAATAAGGAAAAGAAACCAAATACTTTATTTTCAAAACAAATTAAGGTTACATGGATGAAGGCAGGAGAAAGCTTTGCTGATAATCACTACTTATGAAGTGTGGCAAGAAAAAAAAACCTGCTTAAGGTCTTATAAAACAACTGCAGGGAAGATTGAAAACAACTGGCTATGAGAAACCATAACAAGGGAAAAATTCAGCATCAGCTCAGAATCAAACCTTTGAAAGCATCTGTTGCTCCTGGAGCACAGTTCTTGTCAGGGTGAAATTTCAGAGCAAGTTTTCTATAAGCTTTCTTAAGCTCTTCGTCACTGGCATTTCGAGAAACTCCCAGAATTTCATAGTAATTTCTGCATTTCTTGATCCTATAAAAAGAGAAATAATCAGAAATATGTTTACAAAGGGCATTTTTATATTATTAGCTGAAAAATAATACATCAATCCTCTTTCAATCTGTGAGACTCAAAACAGACTTAAAAGAAAATTAATGAACTCATTAATGAAACATTCAAATCCTCCCATCCAGGCTTTAATGCCTTTCAAAGTACTTTTAAATCTAGTATTTTATTTTCCCTATATTCCTGTGAGTGGATAGAACAACAATATTAATCCTTACATCAAAGTTCAGGCTCAGATTTTAAGAGATGAACCACTGGATTTCAAAGCCAGAAGAAATAGCTATTTATTTATTTAGGTCCCTTCTTTCATTTCCCTTATGGCTATCTATTTAAACTGTGTTTGTAAAAAGTTAATATATACACACAGAAAAAAAATAGCCACCATTACTAAAGTATATACAATGAAAAATCTTCCTGCTCCCTTATTCCTGGTTCCCTTGTACCCCACCTTAGGGAAAACCACCATTAGATGTTTTTTGTGAATTCTATGTACAGAGAGAATATGCAACTAAACCACCCCATTTTTTCTTGCCTAAAGGAAACATCATCACTTTTTCATCTTGCAGGGTATTTTTTTTTTTTTTAAATACTGGGGATTGGGGCTGGGGATGTGGCTCAAGCGGTAGC